CTTGCTATCACACATTCCTTCTGTCTCTGGTCAAATTTAAAAGTAATAATAATAAATAAAATTAAATAAGCATTCATATTTTTTTCTTAAAGAAGAGGTTATAATTTCCCCATTGTGGGTTGTTGTTGCCCTGTTAAAGACTAGTTGTATGGATTTCTTTCTTTGCTCTCTTCTGTTTGTCTATGTATCTGTTTTTATGTTAGTAGTGTACTGTTACATCATAGCTTGTAATGGAGTGTGAAATAAGTAAATAATTAGCTTATCTCTTTCTCAACATTACTTTGGCTATTTGGAGTCTTTTACAGCTTCACACAAATTTTAGAGTTTTTTTTTTTCTATTTATGTGAGAAATAACTTGCAACAACATAGATAAACTTGGGGTGCCTTATGTTAAGTAAAAAAAGAAAAAGCCTACCGAAGAAAGACAAATATTGTATGATTTCCCATATTAATGCAATATAAAAAAATTGAACCATAGAAATAGTCTATAAAATGGTGTTCACAAGAAGCGATCTCATGAAGAAAATGGGAAGATATTGGTGAAATAGCACAAATTTTTAGTTAAAAATAAATAAGTCCTTGAGATCTAGAGCCCAACAGAGTGACTGTACTTAACAATACCATACCGATTATTTACACAAAAAAAGATAAAATAAGTAAAACAAATATCTTAAAAATAGCTTATGTAGGTGACAAAAATATTACCCTTCTGGATCAAGATTCAGAAAGATATTACCATTCTGTCTTAAACTGTCTTTTTACTGAAGCTTTACCTCATTTTTGTCTGCAATGGTTGAACTTCTGGTACTATTCTTTTCAATTAGCAAGAATAAAGCCACCACTTATTACATATATTTTCTATCCAGACACTGAGCTATGCATTTCACCTATATAACACTGAAAATACTTTTACTTTTTCAGAAGTGAAGAAATGTAGGTTGAAGGTTTTTTTAAGAGACTTTCCCAAGAGTATAGCACTGTCAAGTAACGGAATCGAATTTGAATCAGATAACATTTCAAGTGTGCAGTTTTGATCCCTGCTAGATCATTTGGAGGCCGGGTCATATAGAATGACCCATTCAGATATCTATGGGGTCAGCTTAATGAGCGCTGAGATGACAGGGAGAATGTGGTCATTATGCAGTGAGCTAACCTAGCTTATTTACAGTGGTGGTGGCAGGATTCCAAATGAGAAGAGAGCTGTAAAAGGCCTCTTGACACCCAGGCTTGGAACCCACATGGGGCTGCCTATGTGGCAAATTATTGCATAAAGCAAACCTCAAGGCCAGACTGAAGCAGTTCGGGGAAAAAAATAAATAAATAAATAAAAAGAAAAAGAGAAGCATTGTACTCATCATGAAATCAGTGAATAATTGTGGTCATTTTTTTCGTACTGCATGACATTTGCAGTTTTGTTTCTCTCCTATTTTAAATGGAAAAGCTTTGATATTAAAATATAATGTTATTACTTTGTTATCATGTACACAGCAGTCAGAAAAATGACTAAAACCTGAGTCTATATTTATCAAGGTTTTTATCATAGTTTATAGTGCACTCCCCGAGAAAGATACAGAGAGGGACCGTGAGAAAGAAGATGAGAAATCACCCCTAAAAGACATGGCCATACTGCAATCACTTCTCTATTTTGTTCCTGGGTTTTGGGCTTGCATGCACATATACCTGACCTGACTTTCAAACTGCCAGGACTGGGACTAAAACCACAATCAGCCCTGTGGGAGTCTACCACGTTAACCACTGTTGGTCCCAACTCTAGGTCTTTTTAAAGAGTGTTCTCAAGCTTTCTTCAAATTTATTTATCTGCTTTTCCTAAGACTTTACCATTTTCTGTATAAAAACACAGACAGGAAACATGACATCAGCCATATTTGAAAAGAGTCTTGGGGCCAGCAGGTGGCGGGGTGGTTAAGCGTGCTAGACTCCCATATGGCTGACCATGGCTTGAGTCAAGCAGCTTGCTTTCTCATTCCCCCAGCCCCGTCCCTCTCTGGTCAAATTAAAATAAATAAATTAATTAAGTTAAATAAAATAATTCTTTGGGAAAAAAAAAATGAAAAGAAAAGAGTCTTGGTTTTAGGCTCCCCTGGGCATTGTAAGAATAAATTGGCATGCACATAGTGACTCCAGTACAAAAGAAAGACTGAGAATGATGGGTTTTCAGTGCTGTCTACTAGGTGATAGAAGAAAGGATTTTAGATGTTTCCAGTTTAAAGTGAACAATAATTACTCCCTTCAATATATACTCTTACCTGTAGCCAAAAGAGCTTTAGATATGTAAATATGATTATGTTTATTCCTCATTATGGGAACAGCTTCAATTTCTATTTGTGGTTCCCAAAATTTTGTAATACAGTGATGTTTCTGACTCATTCAAGCTATCTTTCTTGTCCCATCATTATTTAACCTCTCTCAGTTGCTTAAATGCAAAAAGACTCTCCCGTGGAACACTCAAGTGCATAGTGTTCTTATGATGGGATTGTTTTCCCCTTCCTTCTTATCCCAGAAAGGGGAAGTCATCTGGATAAATGCTTCTAACTTTTCCAGATTTCATTGAAATAATTCTTCTTCTAGGAAGACTTTGAACAGTAAATTAAAGAATTTATTATATTATTCATTTGTATTTTCAGAGTCATATCAAGAAGAATAGTAATTTTCTCTGTCCAGACCTTTTAATTTTTCTCAAATTATATCGTGTTAAAAATGTGCTTAATAAGTCTCAGATATGGAGAGTAAAGAAATTTCTTAGTAACCACTGAAATAGTGGCCATCGCCCAACATTGTTTACATTATAAATATAATAACAACAATTATTTCCCCAGATTATTCTACTCAGTCTTGGCCAAACTTAGAGAAAAATAAATAAATACACACACACACACAAACTCTGTAAATTCATGACAACTTAACACTACCTATTGAACTATGAAGTTCTAAGAATGTGTTAGACTTTTTTTCTTAGTTCAATTATTTCTTCCATGAGAGAAAGGGAGAGAGAGACAGAAAAATAAAATAAAATAAAATACAGTATCCCAGTAGGGTCTTGATATGAAGCTATATACCCAGATCAGGGACACATGCAAGCCCAGTGTACTCAGAAAGGTCTTTGTACACAAACTTGAAACTTTCTCAGGTGGGTTAAGTCCTGCAGAGCATGAGGTTTTACTGCTGTGCAAACATCTGACCCTAAATGCATTGGATTATTAAGAAAAAAATTGATCATGTGAGTAATCTAATTTGGTTGAAGTCTTAAGTAGATAAAGACAAGTGGTGAGCAAGATGATTAAAAGTTACTAAGAGCTATCTTCTGGAATTCTGAATGTACAACTACAGTTATTTTTGTGCGATGTGCTAATTAGTAGAGTTCCATTGTATACTGATAATTATGGAAGTAGGATGGTTATCAGGATATCAAATTGTCTTTATCACAATGTCATCAGCAAAAATACATCCTCTCTGTACATCATTTCCTGCATTTAAAATAGATATCCATATCTCACTTCGTAACAACAGAAGCACTAGACCTAAAGGTAGAGGTTTTATGTTTGTATTCTAGTTACACTAATGACTCTAGCATTGCTCAAAGTTAAGTATTTTAAATGTTTACCCTTTCTCAGTTTTATTCACTTCCTTAAAGGGAAGTCCACTGGGATATCTGTCCTATTAGAATAGCTACCTACTAGTATGATAATATTTTAAATAAATATATTCTCTTTCCTTTCTAAGAATGTTGGAGCCTCAGGATATTAACTCATACTCATATCTCAATGCCTTAAAAACAAAATCAGAGCTCTTCATTTTTTTAATAAAAGGTCTCAAATATGTATATAAATCTCACCTCAACTCAAAGATGGCAGAAAGCAAACATTCTTAAGACAAGAATTTCTTTCAAAATATTACAATAGGTAAAAATATTCAGGTTGTCATAGGGTTATAGTATTACCATACAGCAGAGAACATACGAGATCACTTAATAACTTATAGTAGAGGTAAATGCCTTACTAATTATGAGCATAAACTCTTGACTAAGAAATTCTGGGTTCAAATAGCAGCTCTGCTATTAACTCGTGTCTGACCTTGAGCATGTTACTTAAGCTCTGTTTCAGTTTCACCAGCTACAACGACAAGAGCAAAATATCACTTTTAAATTAAAAACTGAGAGAAATTAAATTTAGTAGAGTTTATATGAACAAAAAGTAATGTATGAATTGGGCACCACCATGAAGCAGAAGTTCAAAAACGCCATGCGGTATTGTGATCAGGAAGTAATTATAGACAGATTGGTTATATGTTGACGTTTTCCCTATCAAACATAATGTGGTGAGTCCATGTCATATGTAGAGACAGACTTATCAGTTAGAAGCCTGTGATTGGCTGAGCCATGACTGCTTCTTAGATAACATACTACAGGGCTAGATTACTCCTTATCTTGTATGTAAGGTAAATATTAAATGGATTTGGTATAGGACTTAAAATAGTAACTTGCACATGATCAATAATATATAATTATTTTTATTTCCATACTATAGCAGTGAGAATAAAACAGTATACTGGTATTCATATAACTATCAACATATTGTCCAATACATAAAATGTTCTTGATAACTTGTGGAAGGATAATGAAATCTTTTGAGTGCCCATTAGGTACCAAAGATTGATTTGAGTATTTTTACGCATATCTTCTTCACTTAATTGATAACCTGTCAGGAAACTATTAGTCATCTTTGTGAGCTTCATTGTTTTAACCTAGATCACAAGAATAAAGGACCTGTCTTATATTAAACAGATAATAAGTGAAATCCTTAGATTTAAAATCATTTCCATCACTAAAGACAGTAGTCTTCAAGTCACAGACAAAAGTACTAAATTCAAATAAGAACAAACTTAAAAGCTTCTTAGTATTGTTGATGTAATTGATGTAATGTTTATCTATTTCAGCAGAAAAGTCACTAAGTGATGTTTTTCTCATTATGTTAATCAGCTTTCCCTCTGTGGTCATGGAAGTGGGAAATCTCACCATCCTGACTGAATTCATCTTGTTGGGCTTCTCAGGAGATTCCCAGCAACAGCTCATCTTATTTGGAATATTTCTGACACTTTATTTGATAACTTTGTCAGGGAACATGACCCTGGTGATCTTAATCCGCATTGATCCCCACTTGCATACACCTATGTACTTTTTTATTGGCAGTTTGTCTTTTTTGGATTTCTGGTATACCTCAGTGTATACTCCCAAAATCCTGGCCATTTGCATCTCAGAAGATAAGCGTATTTCCTTGGCTGGATGTGGGGCCCAGTTCTTCTTTTCCTGTGTTGTAGCCTACACTGAGTGCTATCTCCTGGCTGTCATGGCTTATGACCGCCATGTGGCAATTTGTAACCCACTGCTTTATTCAGGAATCATGTCCACTTCCCTCTGCACTAGACTCGTTGCTGGCTCCTACATCGGAGGATTTTTGAATGCCATAGCCCACACTGCCAACACATTCCGTCTGAGTTTCTGTGGAAACAATGTCATTGACCACTTTCTCTGTGATGTACTACCACTGGTAAAAATGTCCTGTACAGACACCCAGGTCTATGAAAAGGTCCTCACAGGTTTGGTGGGCTTCGCAGTCCTTTCCAGCATTCTTGCCATTCTGATTTCCTACTTCAGCATCCTCCTGGCTATCCTGAGGATCCGCTCAGCCTCAGGAAGGCGTAAGGCATTCTTCACCTGTGCTTCCCACCTCGTCTCTGTTACGCTCTTCTACGGATCCCTACTCTTCACATATTCAAGACCCAGTTCCACCTACTCTCTAAAGAAGGACAAAGTGGCTACCCTGTTTTATACTGTGGTCAACCCATTTCTCAACCCTCTCATCTATAGCCTGAGAAACAAAGATGTCAAAGAAGCCTTCAGAAAAGCAACACAAAACCTCTGGCCACAAAGATAGAGGGTGTTCTTTCTTTTTCTTTTCTTTTGTCTTTTTTAAATTTTATTTTATTTTATTTTATTTTTGAGCAAGGACTGACTTTAATTGCATTTTTCAAACTACTGGCTATAGACATGTTTGTATGCCTGTATAATTCAATTAAATTTGACAAACTAAATTTTTAAAAAGTAATATTAAGCAAACAACTATTTAATTTTTATTTTTTGTGATGTAAACTGTTTAAAACTTATCATATTGAGATGTTTAAATTTCTTCAGTATGATTCTTTGCAACTACAGACTTTTCATAAAATTAATGCTTACTGGCTATAGACATGTTTGTATGCCTGTATAATTCAATTAAATTTGACAAACTAAATTTTTAAAAAGTAATATTAAGCAAACAACTATTTAATTTTTATTTTTTGTGATGTAAACTGTTTAAAACTTATCATATTGAGATGTTTAAATTTCTTCAGTATGATTCTTTGCAACTACAGACTTTTCATAAAATTAATGCTCCTTTGGGACCAGCAGTTGGTGCAATGGCTATATTGCTGGACTCCCATGTAGTCATCCACAGTTCTAGTCCCAGATCCAGTGGCTTAAAGTCAGGCCAGGTGCGTGTGCATGTGTGTGCAAGATCCTGAGAGGAGAATGGAGAAGGGATGGCAGCATGGCCATGCCCCTTGTGGTGGTGGTGGTGGTGGTGGGGGGGTTCTCACTTTTTGTAATTGTGTCTCTCTCTGTCTTTCTGGTTAGCGCAGGTACCCTATAGCAAAAATCTCTCAAAAAAATTAACTCTCCTTCATATTTTTTTTAAGAGGTTTTTGCTATAGGGTGCCTGCGATCACCAGAAAGACAGAGAGAGAGAAACAGAGATAGAAATCAAGAAATCATCCCCGGGGGATGGCCAAGCCGCAATCCCTTCTCCTCCATTCTCCTCTCGGGATCTTGGGCATGCACGGAAATGCACCTGGTGTGAGTTTAAGCCACCGGGTCTGGGACTCGAACCACGATAGGTTGACTACATGGGAGTTCAGCGACATAGCCATTATGCTAACTGCTGGTCCCAGCTCCTTCATATTTTGAAGCAGTTTTGGAAAAAGAAAAATCAGCTGAATGTTTTTCATACATATAGTTTGACTTTGAAATCTGATGATTAAACTTTAATAAGAAAATTATAGGGGGTCAGCAGATGGCATAGTGGTTAATGACACTGGACTCCCACATGGCTGAACAAGGTTCAAATCTTAGACCTGGCAGCTTGAAAATCATGCTGAGCACATGTGCATGCATGCCCAAAATTCAAGGAGGAAAATGAAGGAGAAGAAATCGTAGAGTGGCCATCCCCATTGGGGAGTAATTTTTTGCTATTCTTCTCACTGTCTCTCTTTGTATCTCTCTTTCCATAGAGAACAAATGTATTTTATAGCAAAATCCTTACAAAAAAGAAAGAAAGAAATGGAAATTTGATCAAAATTTTCTTTTTAGGTAAGGTATCTCCATCAAATTCATTCAAAAGCTTTGAGTATATAGAAATATTGTGTATACCATGTGTCTTTTATATCAACATAATATTAGGCAAAGTGCCCAAGGGAATTTTACAATTTTAAAATAGTTTTAAATCCATGTAGTAAATCATATTTTTAGATTCTTTTTTTAGAGGGGTTTTTGCTATAGTGTGCATGCACTAACCAAAGAGACATAGAGACAGAAAGTGAAAAATAAACCCCCAGGAAATTAACCACACTGCAATCTCTTCTCCTCCAGTCTCCTCTTGGAATTCTGAGGCACACACACACATGCGTCCAATGTGAGTTTGATGCTGCCAGGTCCAGGACTCAAACTGTGGTCAGCCCTGTAAGAGTCCAGTGATGTGACCACTATACCACCTCTGGTCCCATATCTTTAAATTCTTAATCCAAATTCAGAGATTTCTTTCCTACAGAGAGAATCTCCATAGCACTTTCCCTCGGGTAACATAATATACAGTCTATTAGGAAAAAACAACAACTAAAATGAAACAACAAGAAGTAAACAAAAGAAAACCTAACTGTATTCTAGACCCAAGGTTCTTTCCTTCTGGTAGAAGACTGACTATAAAGAAAATTACAGCTCAATATTTAGCCCATAGCAGGTTTATTGATATTTTAGTCAATACTTTCTACAATATTGCAACTTCAAAATGATTAGTTATGCATTATCGATGAGAAAGTTTGCAGCTTAGAATTAAGAACTTGGTTGTTAGGCGATTATACCTACTGCTAGAATTAGCACATTTACAAATTTCATTAAAATTTAATAGCTTAGGACAAATAATTGTAGCTGCTTCACCATTTGTATTAACTCCAACATGTCTGGTATATCCTTTCACTTGGGTTCTTACATATTATGGCCCACTCTTTTTTATTGAAAAATCCTTTCTGAAAGTTTATTGATTTCTTTCATGAGAGAAAGTGACTGATAGAGACAGAAAGTCACCTTTGACAGGAACCCCATGCTGTTTTCTTCTCCCCAGCCTTGTAGCCAGCTGGGATCACAACATGCCCAGGGCATATTCACCATATTCATGTAGACCTGTGATGTGAACCCCATCTCTCATAAGGCCTCCAGTATCATACCGTAGTGCCCTGTTGCATGGGTCTTCTGTGACTGGACCACATTAAAATATTATTAACATTGCTTATTCATCTGTCACTGAGAAAGCCCTGTGAGCGCTGTCTTGAAGGATTTGGTGTGCCCCTTGAAATCATGACAATCAGTACTATGTTTCCTCATATCCACGTAAATGCCATCAAGTAAGAGAAAGAATGGTCCAATTGTAGAGAAGAAAACCCATTTAATTAGTGGGATTCTAGAAGTCTTGCACTCTTTTCAATTTTGCCCTAAATACAGATACTGCCTATTAAAAAATGACCGATATTGAATTTAATATATATTCTATTGTGTAGAGTATAAGCCAATCACTGAAACAAAATGAACTAAAAAAAGGGAACAAAATATCTCTTGTTGAATTGAATTGAATAGAAGAAAAATTATTTATGTTTTTAGGTCGCGTGTGCTCACTGGAGAGTTGAAAGAGAAAAAGAGGCACTTCCACTGTTCTCATGGGATTTTGAGCATACACATCCTGTTTATTATTCAAGCCACTGGGTCTAGGACTTAAAACATGCCATCAGCAGTGTGGGATCCAGCCACCTTAACTATCATGCCACCAGCTGGTGCAAAAACAAAAATTATTATTTTTTTAAATCTAGTTTTCCAATCTTCCCTGAAGTAGTCTGTTACACTTACTATTGACTTGAGAAACTTTAAAATTTAGAATTTAAAATTTAGATTATGCTGGTCGCATGTGTTGCATGCCCAAGATCCTGAGAGGAGAATGGAGGAGATCAGATTGTGGCATGGCCATCCCCTCGTGGGGGGGGGGTAATGATTTTTTGCTTTCTGTCTCTCTGTCTATCTTTCTGGCGAGCGCACATGCCCTATAGTAAATTTAGATTGTGCTAACTTGAATGTTTTTTTTTTTTTTCCAAAGATTCTTTCACTTCTTTATCCCTCAGACTGAAGGAACATTCATCATATGGGACAGCACAGTAGTAAAGATAGAGACCATTTTGTCCCTCTAAAAGGACAGATGAACTAGGATGAGAGAAAATACAGGAAACAGAGTCACATATAAGGTAACAAAGATTAATTAGCATGGTAAATCAAGGAAGCCTTTGATGAGCAGAAGAGCAGATCCTCAAGATGGCAGAATGATGGAAATGTAAGGGTTCAGTATGAGCACAGTGGGGATAATGAATCTGGAGGCCAAACGGAAGTACAGTCTGGTATCTCTCCTTCATATTACATGCCAACTTCACCAGGGGTGGAACTTCACGGAAAAACACATGGATGATAATCTTATTACAAAAACCCAAGGCTCTGGGGGTGGCAGAAAAATAACACAACTGTACCCATACAAGAAAGATCCTGCATTCATGTCCTGAAAACTTCTTAAGTATGTTGAGCACCTGCTCCAAATCTGGGATAGTGGATGCTGGGAATTTCCCCCCACATCTTTCTCTTTCCATTTGTGTCTGTCTCATGGAATAAAAAACTATAAAAACTTCAATGTGAATGTGTCAAACTGAATATATGCAATTAATATTATTGCATATACAAAACCTCAGAATGGGAATATATAAACAAACATATGCACAATCTCCCTGCCATGGCCCAAGCATAAACAGAGGAGTGGAAATGGCCAGGTAGCAGTCATAAACCATGGAGATCAGCAGGTAATGCTCACTATAGGTCATCCCAACATAGAAGAAATCTTGGGGACCTTAACAATTATGCTACATCTACTGTGCCTGTGTTCCTTGAATAAAAGAACCAAGTGTGCTGACATCACACCTTTTTAAAAAAATTGTTCACTGAACACTTTAAACCCATCATTGATACCTACTGCACACAAAAATTTTAAAATATATTATTGTTCATTGACAATTCATCTGGTTTTCCAAGAGCTTTAATGGAGACATCCAATGACATTAATGTTGGTTTCATGCCAGCTAATACAACATCCATTCTACAGCTCATGGATTAAAAAGTCCTAAGAAGGGCCAATAGGTTGCATAGTGGTTAAGGCATTGGATCCCACATATCTAATACTGCAGTTTGAGTCCCGTACCTGGCAGCTTGAAATACACACCAAGCACATGTGCACACGTGCCCCAAATACCAAGCAAAGAACAGAGGAGAAAAAGTTGCAGCGTGGCTATTCCTCCTGGAGGTGATTTCAACCTTCTCCCTCTTTATGTCTCTCTCTGTCTCTTGGAAATGCATATGCCTTGTGGCAAAAAAAAAAAAAAATCTAAAAAACTATGGTCATAAGAAAAGAGACCCTATCATTTGATTCAAAGTGGATGAATATAGAAAACTTAACTTTTTTTCTTTTTAGAGGTTTTTGCTATAGGGCGCGTGCATTCGCCAAAAAGACAGAGACAGAGAGACAGAAAGTGAGAAATCACT